CGCGTCTTTGCTCAGCTGATCCACGGAGCTGCCCCGCCAAGCCGCGCCTCTGCTCAGCTGAGCCGCGGCGTCCCTGCTCAGCTGAGCTGCGGCGTTTCTGTTGAGCCGCAGCTTGGGAGCAGCCGGCGCACAGCCGGTATCTGCTCCGCGGCTTCTCGGCGCAGAGCCCCTGTCTTTCAGTGCGGGGCTTTGCTGCCCCGTCACACACAGGTAGGAACACACTTCTATTAGGGATGTTACAGTTACCATTATTGGTTATAGGCTGAGTGTTTTGCAATAGTGAGATAAGCATTGTTACAGCGTGTGCCACGAGACTATGTATATGAGAAGTAAAACAGAAATTTGGAATAGTGACATTACAAATGAGGTCTTTATATATATTGGTATTTTAATTGGTTACTACACAGTACCGTCCTGGCAATGGGGTTTATTGCAGGGATTGGTTCCTGGGTTCGTGTTTCTGTTGTGTGGTGTGTACTGGACACACACCAGACATCAAGAATGGTAACATTCAAAAAACTGTAGGAGAGCACTTTAACCTCCCTGGACACTCAGTAACAGACTTGAAAGTTGCCATACTTGAGAAACAAAAACAAAAACAAAATCATTGAAAAAGAGACTTCATTATGAAATTGCAGAGCCTGGAATCCATATGCAAACTTGACACTGTCATAATAGGTCTGAATAAAGAGCGAGAGTGGCTAGCTCACTACAAAAAGTAATTTTCCTTTTTTTGATATTCACACCTTCTCATCAACTGTTGAGAGTGGGCCACATTCACCCTGATTGAATTGACTTCATTAGCACTGGTCCGCCATATAGTTAAATAGCACTCCCATCTTTGCGTGTGTTTATATACCTGCCAAACTGAAGTTTTCATTTCATGCATGTGACACAGTGGGTTCCAGCCCATGAAAGCTTATGCTCAAGTAAATCTGTTAGACTTTAAGGTGATGGTGTTTTTTGGTTGAAACCGACAACATGGCTACCCCTCTGAAATTGATTTCATAGGAAATTATTGCTGCTATAGACCAATGATTGTGTTTTAAACCAGTTTCAGATTTTGCAGCTCAACTTTTGTACTTTGAAATACTTGTTGAGCTGAATTTGTGGTTGCTTCCTAGCAGATGGTTTTGCTTCCTATTAGAGAAGTTGTGGTAAAGAGCTACTTTCCGCTACCTCTGCATGATTACAAACATGAAATGCTTGATGTGTTAGACTGAGCAAAATTTTGCTATTGCTGTGACAAATGAAAATATTATGTGAAATAGTAATCTTCAAAAATGATTATTCATTCTTGATTCTTTGTCAGTCAGAGGTAACTCATTGGCAAAAGTGGATGATTGTTTCTTTCAATAAACTCTTTTCTTGTACATACATGGATATGTTTAACTGAAGAAAATAAAGTCCGCATTTATGTGTACAAACATAATTTCCCAAATACTTTTCTAAAATAATATTTCAAAGGATTTAATTTTTGTGTTAAAGTGTTTAGTAAAAAGCATAATTTTGTATAGTTCCTAAAATGCCCCAATAGACAGAAACATAATAAAATCACGAATACTACTTTGGTGAGGTGGGGAGAGATTGTGAGAGATTCTAGTGTATCCATTTTTAAATATGTAATATGCTCAAATTGTTAAACATGGTAGAAATAAAAATGAAAACAATAGAGAGCAGTGAATACCCTACTTGTAATGTAATGGGGGCATAAGTCTATGGAATAGAAGGCTTTGGAATACACTGCCAGAAGATAGTTCTTCAGAGAGGTGCCCTGAATGGTAACAAATCTAAGCATGCCAGTTATGCAGCATTGGATTAGAGTTGGGTTGTTATATAAAAGATACAAACGGTTCTTGGACAACCATCTCTCCCCCCCCAAAAAAGGCTGCTGTTAAAATGGTTAAGACAAAACATAAAATATATCGAAAGGCTTTGCATTTTTGTGGAATTAAAGAGCACACTTATGTTTTGAATGACAATTGATTTATTTTGGTAGCTGACCCAAAGAGTGACTATGAGAAGACAGAATTTTTGAATCTGGTGCTGCTGTTCTGTGAGTTTATTCGACATGAAGTTTTCTCCCATGATGCATACATGTGCACTTTAATATCACGTGGGGACTTGTCAGTTACTGCAACTACTCGACCACGCTCACCTACAGGAGAAATTGTGGATGAACACTATTCTAAAGACCATGATGTGAAATTGGAGGTAAAAATACACAGCTTAACCTTTCTTTTTAATCTTGCACTCAAGGTTCAGTAACAAAAAAATCCTTTTAAAAGCAGCTTTCCACACAAGGAAAGCCAAACTTCAAACCTGAGCTTTTAATAATTGGGAAAGAATTGAAAATGAAAATAATCTGTTGTATTTGGAGCCCTATGTCAAATGTGCCTGTATCCCTATACTTTAAAATACCCCAGCTGCAGTGCAGGTATTATGAACTGCATTTAGTTGAAGATGGTAATTCAAGGCTGTGCTTCTGATTCATGTACAATCTCATCTGGAAACTCTAAGTTTCAGGAAAGCCAATCGAAGTAAAGGGAGAAGTACTATCCCACAAGGGAGGACAGGCAGCAATACTGATGGAAGCAGTTTTGAATTCTGTAGGAGCCCATATAAGCAGAGTCAACTTAGGGGGAGATACTGATTTTTGGTGAACACGATATGCTATCTGTCTTTTGTCTCCCTCTCAACCAGTTTGCCCTAGATTAATCTTTGGTATATGGATATGAATTATAAAATCTTTTTATACATTAGGGAATATTGTGAATATTGACTGAAGGAATGGTTCATTTTTTGCCTGACTTTGAACAATACAGGCAGTCCCCGGGTTACGTACAAGATAGGGACTGTAGGTTTGTTCTTAAGTTGAATCTGTATGTAAGTCGGAACTGGCGTCAGCCGCTGCTGAAACTGATCAGTTTCAACCGCGGCTGAATCTGGACGCCAGTTCTGACTTACATACAGATTCAACTTAAGAAACCCAGGCGTCCCCAAGTCAGCTGCTGCTGAAACTGATCAGCGGCTGATTCCAGGAAGCCTGGGGCAGAGCAACTCTGCCTCGGGC